AACACCAAGTTTGTGCAAATCAAGCCAATTTTCCTTTCAATATTCATTTTGCTTTCAAGAACACCATTTGTGCTCATTTGTAATTATCTTTGAGTGTTCTTTTCTTGTTCTAGAATTATGCAAACATCTTACCTTGTGAGGTTTTCCTTGTAAGTTTGCAAATTTGTAATCTTCTCTTTAGGAAAGAATGTTCTCAAGAATTGGGGTATATTCTTGAGGGTGTTGTAAGGTTATCTCTTTGTCCTCAAAAGAAAGAAAAAATGAGTGAATTTGTTGGAAAATCCTTAGTGTGGATAGCTAAGGTAGTGGACGTAGACTTTGATTGAGAAAGTCGAACCACTCTAAATCGCTGTGCAATTACTTTCAATTTTCTGCAAAAGCTTCCACCAAAATTTTAATTGCCAATTCACCCCCCTCTTGGTCAATTCCGTCATTCGATTAACTCAACACAAATTAAATCAAATTTACTAAATAAGGAGTTTCTGTGAATATGGACTAAGGGAGTTGAGGAACACCTGTTATAGTTGAATTCACATGAGTACTCAGAAATCTCATTTTTAGATCGATATTTCTGTATTGCCTTGGCTAGAGGAGTCTACTAAGCTTGAACAAATGGAAGATTTCAGAGAACTGAAATAAAAGTGTTATAAAAAGTCTAGCAATTTACTATGCTAGTTGCGTCATTTTGTCCACCTCCAATTAAAATTCCAAATCAAGAAAGAGGGCATGTCATAATGTCCAAGAAAAGGAAAAGGACGGATCGATGAAACAAACCTCAAAATGTAGGTAGCCAACCTCAAAACCAACATGTCGATCTTGATATTTGTCAAAGATTTGCAGCTATGAAAGATTAAAAGAGCAGTTGATTCTTTTGATATTCAATGAACTCCTGTTTTATGATTTGTTTCAATTGTGAAACTTAGAAGGAGGCAATATTTTTTTCAAAATTATTTTTTGATATTTTTTCAAAATTTTGAAAAGAAAATGAAAAACATTTTCAAACAAGATGATCTCTCTGGAAGTATATCTTGGAATTCAACAAATATATCTCAGAAGTTCGTTATCAAAGTTGGGGCAAGGGAAGCCAAATTTTCCCCTCACAGATCGAAAAAACATACATCAACATATACATACATGTTACATGAGTTTTCATCTTTGCATCATATATTCATCATCATACACAATAAAGATTTTGATTTTCCCTCTTATGAGGATACTTTAAAAATTTTCACTTGAAATCTTGTGTTTATTAAAGTCATTTTCCCCCTCTCATGAGGAAAAATTCAAAAATTCATCAAATCAAATAAACTTCATCTTAGCATCCATCATAACTTCCAGGATAGTCATTCATAAACAAATCATTTATTGATCTTTCAGGAAATAAAAGTTTGGAAATGATCGAATGTCTTTAACATGAAGAAACAATGTCATCTACAGATTTAACATTCTGAAGTGAACGATCAGATCTTCTGAATGTATTTCTTCAACATGCAGGAACAAACAGATTGTTTGTCGCCTTTGAGATTGTTTTTCTTGAAACAAAGTGTCATCTCGCTAGAGACAGTTTTTCTTAAAAACAAATTTTGTCTCGCTTGAGACATTTTTCTTTAAAAACAATTTTTATCTCGCTTGAGACAATTTCTCTCAAAACAAATTTAGTCTCGCTTGAGACATTTTCCCTTTGAGATGCAAATTTCGAATTTGTTTCACTAGAAACAAAATTGATATCACTTGAGATTATTTCTCTTAAAGCAAATTTCATCTCGCTTGAGATAATTCCCTCGGAACAAAAATTTCAAAATTGTTTTACTTGAAACAAAATTAATCTCACTTGAGATTGTTCTCAAAATAAATTTTGTCTCACTTGAGACAGTTTTTCTTTAAAACACAAAGTCTGAAGTGGTTTCACTGGAAATAAAAATGATACAAATTGAATTTGTTTCCCTTGAAACAAATTTTTGTCTCTCTTGAGACAATTTCTCTTGAAACATAAAAACATTGAGATTGTTTCCCTTAAAACAAATTTTGTCTCTCTTAAGACAATTTCCCTTGAAACAAATTATTCCTAAAGATGGTCAACCGTCCTCATCACGTATGAACTGTGTCATCCGCCGACCAGATCTCCTCATCACGTAGGAGTTGCGTCATCCTTAGATAGCCAGACTTCCTCATCACGTAGGAACTGTGTTATCTACATTATCCCTAAAGATGGCCAAACGTCCTCATCACGTACAAACCATGTCATCCACCGACCAGATCTCCTCATCACGTAGGAGTCGCGTTACCCTTAGATAGCCAGACTTCCTCATCACGTAGGAACCGTGTTATCTTCATTGATGGCCAACCGTCCTCATCACGTAGGAACTGTGTCATCCACCGACCAGATCTCCTCATCACGTAGGAATATAATCACCCTTAGATAACTAGATTTCCTTATCACGTAGGAACCGTGTTATCCCCAAATTTACCTAAAAACGACCATAACTCTTCATCACGGATGAGCAACATTGTCTTTAACATCAAATTTCAAAGCCTAAAGGAGAACCGGAAAAAAATTATTGTCTTGTTATCTTTGCCCTATTCTTTTTAACATAAGAATGTGCAAATAGGGGCAACTATAGACACCAGTTTTTGTCTGGGTTCTACTTTTAATTATTATTATTATTATTAATTAGTAACCAAGGGTCAGGGTTTACCCTAAATATCATCTAGCTATCGCCAACAAGGGGATCTGGACCGCCCATCACGACGCCTGTGGGTACACGCACCCAACGTTTCAACTCCCAATCGACGCGTGAATGCCATCGTTCATCTCCCCAAGCGCACGTGCTGCCACCGGATCTCCCCGCTGCCGCTTTTACCTTTCGGCTCTACTATTTTCAACCAAAAATGACAACATATCAATCAACAGTGGGAAGACAGACAAGAATCAGAGAAAAAAATCATAAAAAATCAAAACAAATTCAACATTATCCCGAGGAAATCAAGGCTCTGTCACAAAGGAAGATACACTCTTGCCTCAACCATCACCATAAAAAGAAGAGAGATAACAAAAAATTGGAAACCAGTTTTCAAAAGGAAAAAGAGAGTGAAGAAAACAGGGAGTAGAACCCAAAAAAGAAGAAGAAAAAACACAGAAAAACCAGATAAAAAAACAAAAAAGGATTCGAACAAAAAAAGCATCAGAAAGAAAGAAAAGAGAAAAACAAAGAAAGAGAGGGAGGGAAATCTTACCTTTATAGAGAGATCCGATCTTTGTAGCCTCACTGGAACGAAGAGAAACCACTATCGAAGGTAAAACCTTCCCCTCTCTTATATCTATGGTTTTCGAATAGGTGGGTTTCGGTTTTGTTCGGGTAGTGGAGGGTTTGTTTTTGAAGAGAGATGAAGGGGTAGGGTTTCGTTTCGTTGGTCATCACCTTCAGTGTCGGTTGAGGACGGTCGAAGTTAGTTTTTTCTTTTCTCATCGGTTTGGAGAGGGGGAAATGGAGAGGAAAAGAGAGGAGAGTGGCTGGTAAAAAGAAATGAGGTTTAGGGTTTTAGAAACCCTATAAGGATGGTTATACCATCTCTAGCATGGCGTCGTTTCGACCAAGGGAAACCCATGCGTTAAAAGAAGGGGAAAATAACTTGTTTAGTCCATGCCTTTTGTAAATATCACCCGTGTTTTTCATTTTTCGAGGGCAAATCACAGTTTAGGTCCCCTATGTTTTATAATCTCATTATGAAGTCATTAATTTAAATCTACTGATATTCTACTTTGAGCATTTAGTTTCCTATGTTTATTTTAAGTCATTGACCTTATGTGTTATATTATTTTCTTTGATGTTCAAATATGGCCATGACATTTATGATTCTTTCATTTAGTCACTATTTATTATGAATGCATTTTGGTATAATTATTATTTTCCCTTTCATATTTTTGTTTAATTTATTTTAGTCCCCAATGTTGTTTATGGATTATTTTCATTTCTAGTAGCTTATTTATGACTTTGGTTTGTTTGTAATTTTATTTAGGTCCTTCAAGTTTCTGTTAGTGTCATATTGGTCCATTCAATTACCGAATGTGTTTATTTTTGTTATTTGTAATTGGATATGTAATGTTTTCTTGTTTATTATTGAGTCCTTTATATATGTACATATTTTACATATTATGTAATTATATGTAAATAAATGTGCTTAGCTCTATTTATTGTAAATATTTTATTTCACGTATTTCCATTCGCATTTGTTTCCATTGAATTTATTTATATATCTATAAATATTATTTGAATAGTTTCAAGAACACCAATTTGTAGAATGAGCTTGGAAAACATTGCTTGGTCGAAGTAGTGCGATCCGATACGACATTTTAGCTAAATGTGAACTTGAAACAAATGAGTTTATTTTGCTATTTAATCCATTTTAAGTCAAATAATACAATGCATTTTTCTTTAAATGACAATTTATGTTATTTTACGCAACTACCGATTTTCAATTTATATTCGATTTGTTTTTATCGAGTAGGGAATATTTTTTTTAGATAAAGAAATAGACGAGATAGCTTTCCCGGAGGATTGTTAATCTCAAGATTTTTTTCAAATTAAAGATTTTTTCCTAATAAATAATTCGAAATAAATTAATCAAGCTTCAATGCTTAGATCATAATTTAAATTTATATTTGATTTATAATTTCCACCATTACAACAACGTGTAAGTGAATAAATACCAATTTTTGAGCGGGGGTGTTTATACTTCCCCACGCGTAATCGACTCTCGGACCTATTAAATCAAATTTTTGGTAAACGCAGACCAATTTTTGTCTTAAAAACGATTTTTCTTAAAATTGTTTTAAAATGCGTTTTTAGGTATTCAACTCATCTAACCCAAAGGTCGATGACGACTCTCTTTCAATTTAATTCAAATCAATTCAAAATTAACAAATTTTCAAAATAAAATCATAATTTTTTTAAAAGTTAATTGTTTTTTTCAAAAAAAAAAAAATTGTTATGACATAAGTGATGTTTATCTTTGTTGGCTGTAATTAACTGCTGCTTTTACTTTTTAACTGCCATGGTTTTACTGACCCTTTATATATGTTCAGCTTCTATTCAGTTTCAAAGAATCTTCCTCCGCACCAACCTTCTGCTGCCTTAAGGTACATTTACTTCTTTATGTTTAAACTTCAATTCTCTTTTCCTTTTTGTTCTGGGGTTGGTGTCTGGGAATCGAAGAGACGACTCTTTTTATTGAAAGTTGATTTTTGAGGACTTTTTATTAATGGGGTTCAATAGCTTTGAGGTGGGCGGTAAATGAAACTTGTTTGATTGGATATTTTTTTGTTTACTGAAATTCAAGATTGATCGTTATGTTCATTTCTTATTTCTTTGAAAAATTGGATTATTTTGTTATAGTCTATAACTTGAAAATTGATATTCTTCTTTACTGGGTTTTTAGTTTTTGAAAGAAAAGAAGAAGCATGTTTAGTTAAAATTTGGCTTGGTTTCTTCAATTGAAGTTCAAGCTCCCCCCCCCCAAGAATTTGTGATTTTATTGAGTGATCACTGAGTCATTGAGATTTTCTAACTGGATTGAATAAGAATCATTGTTTCTTTTTCTTCATTTGCAGTGCTGAAGAACTTGTAGGATATGAATCGAAGAGTGAGGCAGAAACGTGAATGTAGTTGGGAAAAAGATCAGACAAACATTAATTCGAAGACCCCTAAGTGTGGATGTTTGACTTCAGCTACTATTTCTGGAGTTGATTGGACAACGTTGCCTTATGATACAGTTATTCAACTCTTCTCTTATTTAAACTATCGAGACCGAGCTAGCTTGGCATCAACTTGTCAAACATTTAGGCTTTTAGGTTCTTCGCCTTGTTTATGGGGGTCGCTGGACCTCCGCTCTCACAAATTTGACACTGCAGCTGCCGTCTCACTCTCCCCACGATGCAAGAATCTCCAGAGACTTAAATTTCATGCAGCTGGCTCAGCAGATGCAATAGTCAGTCTTCAAGCAAGGGAACTTAGAGAAATTAGTGGTGATCTCTGCCGGGACATTACAGATGCTGCACTTTCAGTGATAGCAGCAAGACATGAGATGCTTGAGAGTGTCCATTTTGGTCCAGATGCTTGTGAGAGAATCAGCTGTGATGCAATAAAAGCACTTGCATATTGCTGCCCAAAGTTGCAGAGGCTTTGGATGTCAGGTGTTAAGGTCATTAATGGAGATGCTATTAATGCTTTGGCTATGCATTGTAGGCAGTTAAAGGATGTTGGGTTTGTGGAATCAGACAACATTGATGAAGTGGCTCTTGGAAACTTGAATTCGGTTAAATTTTTATCAGTTGCAGGGACTAGAAACTTGAAATGGGGATCTGCAGCACACGTTTGGAGTAGATTGCCTAGCTTGGTATGTTTAGATGTTTCTAGAACTGACATAAACCTAAGTGCTGTTACCGGATTTCTCTCATCGCCCCAAAATTTGAGAGTATTGTCCGCCTTGAATTGCCCAGTTTTTGAGGGTGAAGTTGACAGTATCTCGATGTATAATCATAAAGGCAAAATATTTCTTACTTTTCTGAGTGACATGTTCAAGGGAGTGACATCATTATTTGCCGACTACTCTAAAAATGTTACTGATGTGTTTCAGTACTGGAGGAAATTAGTGAATAGAGATAAAAACGTGGATGAAATTGTTGTTTGGATTGAATGTGTCTTTTCGCATTCACTTTTGCGTATCGCTGAAAACAATCTGAAGGAGTTTGATGATTTCTGGCTCACACAAGGGGCAGCCGTATTACTCAGTTTGTTGCAAAGTTCACAGGAGGAAGTTCAAGAAAGAATGGCTACGGCTGTTGCAACCTTCGTAGTCATTGATGATGAAAATGCTACTGTTGATTGCAAAAGAGCTGAGGCAATCTTACAGGGGGATGGAATAAGGGTGCTTTTGAACCTTGCAAGATCTTGTCAAGAGGGGCTTCAGTCTGAAGCAGCTAAAGTATGAATTACCTCTTTTTCTGTGAATATACTAAATATGATCCTATTCATTTAAAATAATCTTTACAATTTCATGAATTATAAGCAATGCTAGAAGTCACTACAAGGTGTAGTCTACAACTTAACTTAGATATTAAACTTTTCATAAATTCTGTTTTAGAAGTTATGCTTTCATATAATTCATCACTTTGGAATTTGTTTTATGAGTTTTGCTTGGATGCTGGACTAGTAATTTCTTGATGTTGTGATTCAGGCCATAGCAAACTTGTCCGTAGATTCAAAAGTTGCAAAAGCTGTTGCTGAAAGTGGAGGAATCAATATTCTTGCCAACTTAGCAAAATCAATGAACAGATTGGTAGCTGAAGAAGCTGCTGGGGGGCTGTGGAATCTTTCTGTTGGGGATGACTACAAGGTTGTGAAAACGGAAAGAATTTTATTGGTGGTTATCTTCAAAATTTTCATCTTTATTCAACTCTTCCTTTTTCAGGGTGCCATTGCAAAGGCTGGTGGTATAAAAGCTTTAGTTGACCTTATATTCAAATGGCCTTCCAGCACTGAAGGGCTTCTTGTATGCATCTTTAACTTTTCATTCCTACACATATTTGTATTATTGTTGGAGCTAAATTGTCAGCTTTGCTATATGAAGGAACGTGCAACTGGAGCACTGGCAAACTTGGGAGCTGATGAGAAATGCAGCTTGGAGGTGGCTGTAGCAGGTGGAATCCATGCATTGGTGATGCTTGCTCGCACTTGCAAATTTGATGGAGTGCAAGAGCAGGTATTTTGGTTTTACATTCTTTTGTACATCGAGAATGGAAAAAATCATCTTTTCCAGATGGGTGATGGTTTTTTTAGATTACATTGTTAGTGATGAGTTAATTTGTTTAGGATAAATCTTAGATATTTTAGAATTCCTGAGAAGACTATGGATCTGCATTTTTATAACTAGGTGGAGAGCTGGAGATTAAAGAATTGACCAATACTATTCATGTCTTCCATGCCAAGTAAACTAAGAAACTAAACTGCGAGTACCTTTGCATTTACCATGGAATATGCATCTAATACTTTCACCCAGAATGCCTAAAGATTATAGCCCCCTCTACTGTATGATTATCCAACGTGGAATGGGGTAATGCAATATTTAGCTGGATCCCTTATCAAGTTTCTTATTTTAAGACTTGAAAAATTGTTATATTTCAATTTTAAGTTGGCATGCTATCCCTGGTCAATAATATGCCTGCAAATGGAAATATAACAAATTTTCAAGTCTTAAAATTGACCAGGGATAGCATGCCAACTTAAAATTGAAGTATAACTAATTTTCAATATTTAGCTGGATCCCTTAGCTTCATTCAGTTGCCTCCCAACCATTCTTGAGTATCAACTTAATTATGTATTTCTATGCAAACTAATGTTTCAGAAGATAGCTTTTAATTTTTCTTGCTAAATAGAACTTTTTTCTCGTCTTGGCTAGGCTGCTCGTGCCTTGGCTAATTTGGCTGCTCATGGGGATAGCAACAGCAATAATGCTGCAATCGGACAAGAGGAAGGTGCGCTGGAAGAGCTGGTGCAACTTACCTATTCTCAAAATGAAGGTGTTAGGTAATCTACTTTGCTTCATTTCGCCTGCGGCAATCCGAACTACCTCTGAGTGAAACTTAAGTAAATGTCAATGCTTCTTGCATGGTTTAAACATTTTGGAATTTTACCTTAAATGTTCATGTAAGTAATTGCATGTACTTGACTCATAAATCCACCTTTCCAAATGGCATTTCATTTATTCATACCTACTCGCAAGCAGGCAGGAAGCTGCTGGTGCTTTGTGGAATTTGTCATTTGATGAGAAAAATCGGGAAGCAATTGCGGCAGCTGGTGGTGTTGAGGCACTGGTATGATGAATTGCATGTCAAAACTTTGATCATTTCATATTTTCAAATTTCAAGTAAATTATTATTCTATTTTTTTTTACATATGATGCATCAATTATTAAATTATCTCAAGTATTTCGTTGCCTGTTAAAAGCTATTAAATGGTTTCTACCATGCTTTTTATCATGGTCTTAATTTGATCATGTCCCTCAGTATGAGTATGCCCTTTATAATTCCTTTATAGTTTGCAGTTAGTTACTTTTATTCTAACAATATACTAACAATATGAATGTTGACAAGATTGTCTATTTGCCTTTCTTTTCTCCTTATAATATTTTCTTATGAATTATTGTAGAATTAATGACTTGAATCAATTAAAATAGACTCAATATGCATGATTTCAAACATAAAAAATAAGGTAATAATTAAAATGCAAAGCAGCACTTCAAGAGACTCATATTTTGATAATCATTCTTTTCTTTAAAATGGATGTGGCAACATTGCTGCATTATCTATGGCGATACTAGGTAATTTTGTTTGATATTGAGAAGCTTTCACGTGTTAAAGATAATTTCATTTGATTTTGAGAAGCTTCATAGGCATGTCTGATGATAAAAAATGGAAGGAAATGCAGGTGATAAAGATAATTTTGTTTGATATTGAGAAGCTTTTATGTTAATGTTCTCTGCCTTGATGATTCTATTAGCAACACCACCTAAAAAAACTCCAAATATTAATAAAATTTATGATTCCACTTCTTGAACTGATAACCCTCACCTAGGCTGTGGTTTTGCACAAATATATGTATTTTTCGGCTATCAGCCCTATTGCAGGTTGAAACTTTTATTTTGGTTTGCAACACTAGGTTTCCCTTGCTCAATCTAGCTCAAGTGCATCCCGAGGTCTTCAAGAAAGAGCTGCAGGTGCCCTTTGGGGATTGTCAGTATCAGAAACTAACAGGTATTTGAGGAAACTTCTTGACCGTAATTGTATAATGTTTCAACTTACGTGATAATATTTACTGGACAAGTTCTTAGGTGAAAGTTCCCCTTTCCTTTGGTGATGTATACTTGTAAAGAGATCTTTTCTTGTAAACCAAATGCGAGTAACCTAGACCTTGTTCATGCTATTTAGTTTAGAGTTTGAAGCATTTACTACATATGTGTAAACCTTAAAACTCTAGACGTGTTTCATCTTCAGAGTTCCATGTCTTGACAGAATGTTTGATCTACGATTATTTAGGCCTCAGTTTATGTCAAACTGAAAGAATCAATCTCTTCTCTTTTTGATTTATTTTTTTGGTTATAGATAGCCTTTTTGATATACATTATAGCAATGTATATTAATTTTTCTTGAAGGATGTATCTCAGCAATTTATGATTCTTATTGATGTATTTTCTGTTAATGCAGCATTGCTATTGGAAGACAAGGTGGTATTGCTCCACTTATTGTCTTAGCACTTTCAGATATTGAAGTAAGCTTCTCACTCTTTGCTTTCATAGATTATTCATTATTCTCAAAATTAGTTTAAGATTTTTGTAGCATTAACTGTGGTTTTATGAATATTCTCTATGTTACTGTTAGTGCAATTGCTTTTGGCCCTGATTTCTGAGAATTTAAAGTTGATGTAAATTGACAGGTTATATTAATGTTAGGCTTTGGCCAATAAGGGGTATTTAGATAATTAAACTTAAGTGTTTATCCTTAAGACTTTGGCCAAAAAGGGGCATTTGTACAATACCAAGGATTATGGACCCTATAAATATGTAATGTCACATGACTATTTTTCTCAAACAATCAAATATAACAGAAAGCCTTTTGGCAATTGTTTGGACGTTGATCCCCTTGAAATGATCAAATTTTACTTTTTCGTGTTAGTTTCCCGAATTCCCTTTAGATAGAACCCTAGATTCTTATCAATATTCTAACCGTAAACTAAGGTTTAGTATATGATTGGTTTTCAGGATGTTCACGAGACTGCTGCTGGAGCACTCTGGAATTTGGCCTTTTATCGTGAAAATGCTCTCCATATAGTACAAGATGGTGGAGTTAAACCTCTCGTTCATCTATGCTCTTCATCAATCTCTAAAATGGCTCGTTTTATGGCTGCATTTGCCTTAGTATACATATTCGATGGGAGGTATGTCAAACTATTTTTTGCTAGTTGGCAATATTTGTGTGATAGTGTCGGATTCTTATTTTCAATGATTGGGAGCCTCAAATATATAGATAAAAAGATCCTATTTTCTGCAAGTTCTCATGGATGGACAACCAGACAGCGCTCTAAAAAGAAGCAAAAATAATATTTAAGCTTTGGTAAAAAGTGGTTTTGACTGGTAGGAGAATGGTTCAAAAATTTACTTTTGAGGTTTAATTTTTGGCTTAATTATTCACAGGATAGACACATCTGTTCCGGCTGTGCCCTCATCATCTGGAAGTTCAAAGACTCTGAACACTGATGGGGATGGGAGGATCGCCTTAAAACATGTTGAAGACTTTGTGAACTCATTCTATGATCCACAATCCTTTCATACTGCAGCTTCATCATTGGTCCCCACTGCTTTGGCACAGATAGCAGAAGCCATAAGAATACAAGAAGCAGGACATCTAAGATGCAGGTTTTAATGTTTTGGCCTTAGCATTTGGCATTCAACTGAATGAGTTTACGGTAGTAAATTACATATTGTATTAATCTATTTACTACCTTATAGTAAATTACTTATTGTAGACAACATGATATTTACACGCACTTGTCACTACCCATGGCCTCTGTCATCACACTCATCTCTCCCTTTTCTCTATCTCTCTATAGTCAACCAGAACCAATTCCATAGGAAGAGCAGTGGGTCTCACTAGGAAATTGCTGATGGGAAGCTAGCCTATGGACTTTATAAACTACCCTAAGGCCTTAGACTTTGTTGATATGAGACTTATGTTGCCCCTTGTGCATTCTTGAAACAACGATGTTTGTACCAGTAACTAATAAGGCCAAACTGGACTTTTTTATAGAACGCCCATAGCCAAATGTGTTTTAACCATCCATCTCTTGAATCCCCATTTTGACCTTTGGCTTAGCATGCATTTCTGCTACACTTCAAATGTTGTAGCAAACACTAATTACCAATAGACTATCCCAATCGTTTTGTTGTAAAAGTCAATGCTTGCACTTGATTAATAAGTGACTCAAACACGATTCCGGCTTTTCTGTAGGTGAGATCAACTGTTTTGAACGTTCTTCTGTCATATTTGTATGAAATTCAGTTTGTCTACTCAGAACATTTTGTAGGAAATGCCTTTACAAGTCTGTTTGTTGGAAATCAAATCAGGCTTTAAATTATGCGCTTGAGAAAACGAATTGATGGGTAAAAAGTATATGACGATGAAAATGCTGCCAATCTTACACCAAGTTTGTATTGACCCTCCTCAATGGCATGCTGCAGTATGCTTGCATATACTAAAGAACACTTTGAGGAGTTCCTGCCTATTTTGTTTTGATTTGGGTGTTAGGGTTGGATACAAATATGTACCGACATAGGTATATCCTTTATTTCTTGAAGGGTCATATTCCCTACTGATGTCCAAATACATGTCAGAAAAGGGTGTTGGACACTATACTTCAAAAAAAAAAAAAAAAAGCAAGATAAGTTCCAGTAATATCTAGCTCTAGGCAGTGAATTTACGGTTCAATTGTTGAAGCTTTGTAAATTTTAGCATCTTCCACATTCATCTTTATAAATACAAGTGAGATTTGCCTTTTGCATGAAAAGTTTGTTAATGGTGCTATGTTATATGTTTTCTGCAAGACAGTTACTTTACTTACCACCCCTTTCTCTGGAAACGAAATTTTCACGAGTTTCATGTTCATAGCTCTTACCTTCTGGATACATCTCTGTATTCTAATATGTATTTTTTTTTTACGTTTCGCTCCAGTGGAGCAGAGATTGACAGATTTCTCAGAATGTTAAGGGACCCTTCTTCTATACTAAAGTCCTATTCTGCATTTGCTCTTTTGCAGGAAAGCGACTATTCTCTTTATCCTATCGATTAAAAAATATATATTTGTTTTATTCTCATTTTGCAATACATTTTGCAGTTTACGTTGCCTGGAGGACGGCATGCAATGCATCATTCAAGCCTTCTTCAAAATGCAGGTGCACCGAGAGTCTTACGTGGTGCCGCTGCTGCATCAACAACACCTATTCAGGCCAAAATATATGCAAAAATCGTGCTTCGGAACCTTGAGCATCACCATGAACTCTCAAGTTAGCTGTGAGGATAGTTTCTTCTGAAACTCCCCCATGGAGATTGTCAATCCTCAGAAAAAAGAAAGAAAGCAAAATCTACTTTGAATTGAAGCAGGCTCTCTTGTCGTCTTGCTTGAACCAAAACTGCTCCTTTTTGGTTCAAAATTTTAGACACCTTGTCTTGTCTGGCGTCATGGATTACTTGTGGTAAGAAAATGAAAGAGGGCATGCATGTTCATGAAGATCATTAAACTGAAGTTTGTGAGGTTTAGAAAAGATTTTTTTTTCTTTTTTGTTTATTTTGCCTATCATAACCAAAAAATAAAAGGGAAGGGGAAAATAAGAATAACCTATTACAAGATCAATCCTTACACATAGTTTGCGGTGATTTTTCATTAGTATCTGATCGTGCAATCGGTTTTGCTTTTCTAGTTTGCTTCATTATGGTGGTAAGATAGATTATACAAATATTGAGGTCATTTCCGGTTTAATAAATTTGGATTATTAATGTCCCATGAGTATTTATTTTTAATATTCATCAGACAGTTAGACGACAGTGGATCGCCACCAGTTCAGGAGAACCAGTGCTTGGACCTGGAAAATACAATTCAGAACAATTATTTGGATCAGCCAGAAAATTCATGGACATTTAAAAACAAAACTAACAAAAGTAATACATGTGACCCACATATCCGATTTCATTTTAGTAGGAAAAATTTTTAAGCAATAACAACATGGTCGATGATGATTCTTGCAAGATATACTACTAATAGAATTTTCGAGAATATCATTAACTTGATCAATTTAGATGTTTTGATACTAATTTTTAAAATAAAATAGTAAGTATGATGATTGCACAATAAAATAGAAACCAAAATTTTGTGGGATTTTTTTTTTGGAAAACGCCAAGAGAAAAAAAGAAAGAATTTTTAATAACACCGAAAATAAAAGAATGCAAGAGGGTTTTCATAATCAACTTCAAAACTCTAATCCCTAATATATATTTATAGGGATTGTTATTTGATTACATTGATTACAAAATTTAGAATGCAAAATATCGATACCAAATGTAAGAGAAGTATTGGTACTCTTTAGGTAGTATTGATACTACCAGTTGTTTTCCAAATTGCTCAAATTCTAGAATGCAAAATAGGTACTGGCACTCAAGGAGATATTGATACTACTTTACATAGTGGTATCGATACCATGAAGCATAGTATCGATACTGGTCAAGCCCAACATTCTTCAACAACTAATTATTTAAATATTACAAAGGTAGTATCGATACTCATTAAAGGAGTATCGATACTCCTTGTCCTGGGAAGTTTTATTTTACATAAAATTAATCCTCATCGGCTTCAAAACATCCCCAACGGCTAGAAATGACCACATGCTAATTCCAACATATAAAAACAAGTTAACAAGCTGAATACACTTCAAGAAGGTTGTACTACACCTATCCAAGCAATCAAACACAAGAGAAGAGTTTTTCATTCTTATTTTCCTTTCTCTTGTAAATATTAGTGTTTTGAGCTCATTGTAAATCTTCTAATTGTTTTCTTGTGAGCTTAATTTTTGTATACACCTTCCTTTAAGAGGTTTTCTTGTTTATGTCTTTTATTCCTTTTGTAAAGGGGATTGGTTCTAGCTTAGCCTTTGAAAAGCTAGGAGTTATAAAGGTTATCTCTTTGTCTTGGAAAAGAAAGAACAAATTAGTGAATTTGTTAGAAAATCCTAAGTGGGGAGCTTGGGTAGTGGATGTAGACTTGGTTGAGAAGTCGAACCACTATAAATCCTTGTGTAATCCCCCAATGTTAATCATATTTTGCAATACGTTTTGAAGACTAAACAGTTCTCAATAGAGTGACCAGAAATTCCATTGTGGTAATCATAATGTACGTTTGCGTCATACCAGCGAGGGTACGACAATTATAGAGGAGTCAAACAATAGGGGCGTACCACATCCATCTTCAATAGCGAGGCGTATATCTCAGAATAGGGTATTGGTAGTGGTGTGAAGAACAATCTCTCACTCCACTTGCGTGGTCCCCTGGAATCATTTCTATTGGTGTTCGTGTCATTCCTTTCAACCCTTGGTTGGGTTATTGTGACACTTTTTGCAGTATTCTTGTTGTAGACACTTGCATTATTAACTTTGTTTTCTTTTTTCCGGTACACGGGTTTTTTTTAACTAGACCCATCAACTGCCTCGATTTTGCCACTTTTTATAGCGTTCTCGATGAGCTCACCAAAGATGACCAGATCAGCAAAGTTCTTGGTGGCATTTCCAAGTAGATTCCCTAAGTACTGAGCTTTCAAGGTGTTGACAAAAATTACAGTAGCCTCCTTTTCGAGTAAAGGGGATTGGACCTGTGCGGCTACATCACGCCACCTTTGGGCATATTGTCGGAAAGTCCCATTACTTATTTTTTCCATATTTTGAATAGTCCACTGATCGAGAACCATATCTGTGACATGGCGATACTGTTCTAGGAATGCCTTTTCCAAGTCTCTCCATGATTTAATGTGAGCCCTGGTTAATTGGTTGTACCACTTGGTGACAGGTCCTGTCAGACTATCTTGAAAACAGTGAATCAGTAGCTTTTCATCTTCACATGGCCAACCATCCTCCGGAAAATCATGGTGATATGAGATGAAGGGCATGTGCTGCCATCGTATTTTTTGAAGTCGGGAACCTTGAACTTTATAGGGATGATCAAGTCTGGGACCAAACTCAGCTCTCTGGCATCAAACCTATAGAATGGTTCAATTACCTCTACCGATTTTACCCTTTCTTCCAAGCTCTTCAACTGTTGAGTTAGTTCTTCATTGGCTTTCTCCTTTTCTGATAACTCAATCATATCCGGGGTTAGGTGCTCGATACTAAATTCTTCTAGCTTTACAGCTAGAAATGGCGGATATAAGTTTGGGAATACGGGTCCCATATGGTGTTGCTGATTTTCATTGCTGATATATGTATGAGGTCGGGCTTCTTGAGGTACCGAAGAGCGAGCAAGGTTGTGTATAGGTGTAAAACCAGGAGAAGGACCAGGTTCTGGTGTGGAACCTATAGAATGCAGGATTTTCAGCAGGACCTTTTTAAGTTGTAGCATGCCTATTAAATATATCCTCTATTTTCTGCAGTATATCCAGTTGTGAACCTGCAATGTCGGCCTCAATATTTTCCAATTTACTTCTCATTTCTGCCTGCATGTCTTTTTGCTCTTTCTTAATACAGGCTAACATTTCTTCCATCTTCTTACTAACTTTCTTGGTACCGTAAGGATGTTGCGTTTCTTTGTCGCTAACGTGGGCCAGGGTAGATGCGATTGGAAACCTTATTATATTATTTTTGTGTTTTAATTAATGAATGCATGTCTTAATGTGAGATATTTAAAATTTATACATAAATAAATGCAACGAAGAATGAATGTTTGCAAAAGGTATTGATCTCAAAAAGTTAATTGTCATAGAACAACTTCCACCGGAACATAAAGTTTTCATTACATAATAGTTAACTTCTACAAATACCACTTAGATTTCTTATTCAGCTCTACAATTTCATTAATCAACCATTACAACTTCTTCCCAAACTTAGAATCCGGATTAATGTGGTGCTCGATGACCTTTTCTTCAATAGCCAGTTCCCCAGTGTATCTGGTAACTTCACTCATCTCTATTATGGCCTCGCTACCATGTTGCTTCTGTCTGCATTTCGTTCTTACTAGAAATCATTCGATTTTTCCACTGTTTAATAGTTCCTTGGAGAGTTCTCTAACTCAAAGATTCGCACTTGACAACTCTGCAGTGCACTTTTCAGACTTTGAATTCACCTTCTCAGTAAGGCATTCTCTTCATGGCTTTCTTGAAGGTCACTCGGTCCCATGAGAACCTTCTCTTGGAATAAGGATTCTTCGAGTTGTAGGATGTAATCACTAAATTCTGTGTTTTTAGCCCGACATTGAGCTAGATCCTTTTCAAGTCTCGTTTGTGTTTTCTAGATCCTTCGATTGAGACTCTGCACTTGCATATTTTTGTCTCCACACCTTTTCATCCAGTTGTTGGTTGTCTCTTCCCTTGTTTCGAGTATAGTATTGAAGTGTTTCCTTTCCAATTCTCACATATTCTTTTTATTATCGAATTCTTTGATATTTTGTCCTCTAATATCAATTTCAGCAAGCATGTTATTTAATTTGGCTTCAAACCCCTTGGACATGATGGTCTTCTCAACCTAGAACCCCTCAAGAATGCTATTCTTTTCATCTTCCAGCTCTTTGACACGATCTTTACCACTTTTTAGTTCTTCCATAGCTTCGCGGCTCTCGACCTTATATTTTATAATTCACTCCCTCTTATCAAGCTTAAGCTCTTCTATTTTTTGCTTCCCTTTCTCTAAGATCTTGATTAGACGATCGTTTTTTACCTTCAAATATTTGACATGATGTTTCTCTGCGTTTAACTCTTTGGTTAACTGTGTTGACGCTCTTCTTGACCCAAATGTTGTCCTAGATTTTTGTAGCTTGTAGTAACCCATCTTTAGATCTTTCAAATCCAAGTCTATTTTTTCTTCTTTTTATTAGCATTGCGTATTTTTCTTGTTTATATCATTAGACTTAGATACTTAGGATTAGTTAGTGACACCTATTCCTAGCTGTAGCAATCTCTTAAAATCCCTCTAATCCCTGTGGAGACGATACTCACTCACTACTATATTGCTTACACCGATTGTGTACACTTGCACAGATTTGCTTGCCTTAGCATATACATTTACAAGCGATCATATATCCTCCTTTAGGTTAGGTAGAGGAATATTTTCATTCTTCCTAACAGACATCCACTCCTCATAATCGGGCATCAACATCACTTTGGCTACCTCGGCTCTAGTACGGAAAGTCTTATTCCATGCTCTAACTGCATCAAGGATGTTTTTCTTGTATTTGTTTCCATGAAACACAAACTTAGATGAGTGCAATCCAGTAGTAAATAAGACAAATTGACGGCTATCATATTGCCTCAGAACCAAAAGTGGTGAGTACCCAATTCCTCCCCATAAACCGATTAGCATTACCTATTATAGTCACCATACTTATAGATGAACTCACATTGTATTTGCCAAGGGGCACGCCAAACGATGTCCTTGTCTTCCATATTTATAAGGGCATTTATCCATATGTCTTTAGTGACTCCTTTTGGCCACTCTTGCTCGGGGAATTCTCTCAAAGGTGAGTAGCTGGTACTAAACCGACGATATGAATTTTTTTTCAATTTTCCAAAAGTAGCTACGGATCCAGATATATAGTAGCTGTGCGCATCCTGA